TGAAGAAGCAAGAGTTACTCGTTCGACTCGGGTCCGAGCCATGCATATTCCATGTGCAACTCTTCGTTGCCTTTTATTCGCATTCCGCGGGTTCGACCCGTTGCTTCCACTCAGAGCTCACCAAGAATTGATTGTCCACTTCAACTTGAGCGCTATGCCGCGTCACTGCGGATCAGTGCTGCGGCAAATCGGGGCAGGCGCGGCATTTCCTCCCAGCCCCATCAAGCAGTGTATCTTGTCCCGCTCACTCAGCACACCCCAATGATTTCTCAGCGCTGACATTCAAGTGCTGATGCATACTGCCTTTGTCTCCAAGCCGCTGGTGTTACGTAGCACTACTAGCAGTGAGCCGTCCGCGTCATGTCCTCTAGCAAGGTTCAATTTTCTTTATCCAACCGCCGTATAAAACTGGACACGAACTAATCAAGGGTCCCCGTAATCCAAGTTCCCCAACACCACACACTGGCATTTTCTCAAGCTTTCAAAAGAATGGACCACTCATTCGCGATTACCCGCCCCGTCAACCCTTCGGGGGCACTGCCTGTTCTCACGGAGGAGCAGCTCTGGAAAGGGCTTGAATATAAATTGCGTAACCCGACTGGGCGTAGTGCTTCTCTGACCCGCCCATTTTTCGTCCTTACCGACGGACGACCAGGCCTTCGTAGCGATGCTATCTGCAAGCAAGACCATTGTCGATAATGGGAATAAGGTGTGTCGACTATGGCATTTTGAGGTAGATGTTGACCGGGGACGGCGTAGATGACCCGCGAATTGACAATGAGGCCCAACACTTTCACGGAGGAGAGCGAGGGGTATGCCCCGACCATTGTGCGTTCTCTTTGCCAGGGCTCCGAGCAGCGGTCCTCACGAGCTTGGAACAGATGTACATGGAGATGAGCACCGGCCTCCGCATCACGAACATTGTCTCCTACAGTGCTGAAGACGACCTGCTGCTCACTTACAGCTTTGGCAACGGACGTGAGAACACTTCTAAAATTCGTCCACGGGTAATCTGCTTAGTTTCAGTTGACTGATTCATTCCCTAGTTCCCGGGGTCCCTGCGGACAAGCCGAAGCCCAGCGCCAAGGAGCTGAACGCGATCATTGGGAAGGCGATGGACATGGGAATCGAGACATTCAGAGAGCTGGCCAAGGAGGGGAAGTTGGAATTTGGCCCTGGTCAGAGTGTATCCCCAGAAACTGCTTTTCGATCTGTTGGACAGTTTACTTGAATGGCAAATATTTGGGGCAAGGGAGAAATGCCTGCAGAAAGGTTGGATAAACCAGTCTGATTGTATGTCTTGTTTAGAGTATTCCCAGTAGCGGTAAGCAGGATTATTTGGACGAAACCGTGCCGCCATGATCTATCATCTCCACATTGGCGCCAGACAGCCAGTCACCTATGATGACTATCCACTCGGGATGAGCGCTGCTGAGTACAGGCAAAGCAGCGGGGGATGGGTGTTTGAAGAGAAGTGGATTCTTCTTGGATGGCTTTAATTGCTCTCCCGGCCCTCATTTACCGTTGGTACTCATTGGGGACTCAACTGCGTCACACTAGGACCCATCACCGTGCTCCAACTTGCGCTGATACAGTAGTCTTCAAGTGTGATTGAAGAATTGAATTCTCCGTTTTCAGCTGCGCGCAAAAATCTAGCGCTCACACATTGAGAGGAAAGAGAATACGTGTATCGGCTCCGGTCCGCGTCTGCCTCATGCGGTCCAGTGGTGTGTTGTATGTGTTGTATGTGTTGTATGCAGGAGAAACCCGTTCGCCTCGGGTCCGAGCCACCGAGAGAGATGCATCAGTCGACCGAATGTTTTTGCAGTATTGCGTCTGAATCAGCCAGGGTCTCTCAGAATCCACGGCAGCCGGCATCACTAATACACTCTAGTATATATGCGAGTCACAGCGAAGGTGCGAGAGCATATTGATTGCAACTAATCGGAATTTAACCCGACCGCAAGACATTCAAGAGGGCGTACTTACTGAGTATCCCGCTAACTATGCTGTTGGCTCGGTAGCGGATGGTCCGCGCTTGCATGTCTTTCGTTGAGGGTCATGTCGTTAAAGCAAGTGTTACCCGTTCGACTCGGGTCCGCACCATTGGGACAACATTGGGATGGATAATTTGTCAAGTGTTTTCTTTTGCTATTGGGTCTGAGTCAGTTAGAGTGTCTCTAACTAGTAATAGCGTAGCATGCCAAAATTGAATGAGATATCACAGCGAGTTTTTTGATTGCGATGAATCAGATTAATTTATATCTACCGCCGGACATTTATATTCACGAAGGCATACTGAGGATCCAGGTAGACGTGGTGTCGGCTCGGTGGCGGATGGTCCGCGCTTGCATGTCTTTCGCGTCGGAATTGATTGTTAAGCAAGAGTTGCCCGTTCGATTCGGGTCTGAGCCACTGCTCAAGCGAAATCGGGAACCTTTTTCCTTCCCGAAGTTCAATTGCCGTTGGCACCCAATGGGAACTGAATCGAGTCAAACTAGAACCCATTGCCGTTCAACTTAGGCTGATAGTCCTTAACCGTGATTAAAAAATCCTTCGTTTTCGGCAGCGCGCAACCATGAGATGAAGGAGAAGACATGTACTGGCTCTGTGGCGGACGGTCCGCCTCTGCATCATCTGTAAAATTGTTGATCCAATACATGCAGGAATTGCCCGTTCGATTCAGGCCCGAGCCACTGGATTAACCTGTCCTCGGCCAAATTTTTCATTGCATTTCCCGCGTTCAGTGCGGTTTGTGGTGGGTAACATGCAAGATAAGTAAATGCGTATCGGTTCGGTGGCGGATGCTCCGCCCTTGCATCATCTGCAAAATTGTCGATCCAATGCATGCAGGAATCGCTCGTTCGACTCGGGCCTGAGCCACTGGGGTTGGCACTGAAATCCTTTTCCGATGGCTTGCTCCCCAAGCTCGATTGCCGTTGGGAACTCAACTGCCTCACATTAAGACCCGTCAACTTGTTGAATGCTCCAACCTGCGCTGATACACTACTCCTTAACCGTGATTAAAAAATACTCTGTTTTCAGCGGCACGCAAAAGTCTTGTGCTCACACATTGAGAAAAACTAAAATACTTGTATCGGCTCGGTGGCGGATGGTCCGCACCTGCGTTGTTTAGTGCTCCAAGAAACGGGCTGAACCAGCAGACCAAGTCCGTTCGACTCATAGATCACGAACAATTATCTGGTTTTTATTTCCTTCAAATAGCCTGCACTTGCATTCCATTGGTGGGAAATCCTTGATTTAGCTATTTGCAAATCTAATGGCACTAGCTAATTTTAGAATTAAAGAGCAACTTTTGATCCGACGGTTTGCCAAGCTCATTACTTGACCATTCGTGGGTCGATTCCATTGGTTTTGGGCGCGTTAGGAAGGGGCGAAGCTAAGCTTTCGATCATGTGCATTTTCGGTCCTAAGTCACCGCATTTAATGACCACAAAATTTGCACCTTTGCATTTCAACCACACATTGTTAACTCAACAACTGCGCCGTTTTCCATTCGATTTACCTTATTCCGACGCTCTTATGATCAATAATGGAGGTTCACGTCCTGAATGGTACATATTGTGTGTGGTATGTGTCGCACTAGCTGTATATCTTGGTGAACAGCAAATTTCCAAACACGTGAAGAGCTCGGTTGCCTTGGGGACAAAACCATTATTTTTTGACATTGGAAACTTTGAGACACCTCCCTCTTCAATATGCACCCAGTTTGAGTCAAATTGGATTCGAAATGAGCGAGTAGCGGGGTTTCCATTCAGGGATCGGTATCATCAAGGGCGATTTTGGGGGTACCTCAAAATTTTGAATTAAAGCACAAGATGTATATCAAATGAAAGCGCTGCTCATGCTCCATGCAATCCCATTGAAATGACATGAATTGGTTCAATTTTGACGGAGAAATGCGCTCGGCAAACCGTCGGATCAAAAGTTGCTCTTTCATTCTAAATTTAGCCAGTGCCATTAGATTTGCAAACAGCTGTAAGCAGGAAACGCCCGTTCGACTCGAACCTGAGCCATCGGTGTCAAATGCTTTACTTGTGAATTCTTTTGGCATTGGGTCTGAATCAGCGAGAGTGTCTCGGAATTCAAGGCCGCCGCTATCACTGCGTTCCGGGGTCCTAGGCTGAGTCAGTAAAGGTGAATGTAGGTGTACGTAGGTCAGCATAGTCGGCTACAATAGGTCAGTGTAGGTCACCTACGTCCACCTTGACGGCAATCAGTACAGGCGGATGTAGCTCAGCGTAGGTGTACGTAACTCACCTGAGCTGGGTATATTTAGGTCGGTGTAGGTGCCTACACCCACCTTCATTGACCTCAGGCAAGGAATACAGTGATTTGCCCAACTTAAACATGGCCCCAAGTTCAATGGTAACAGCAAAAATCTCACTGATCTGGTCTCGGTTATATATTTTGGACTTGAAAATTGGGACCATTTGTTGTCGATACTAGTACTGGACTGTTGCTGGAGGTGATAATTAGTCTCAGTATAGGTCACTACGTGGACCTACATTGACCTACACTGACCTACATTGACCTACACAGATTGTACGTAGGTGGGTCTCAGTATAGGTCCATGTAGGCCCCTGAACTCAGGCCGAGTCTAGGAGGTCCTGGAACGCAGTGTATAACTAATAACACTCTCCTACATATTGAATCGGATTATCACAGCGAAGACTGAGCTTTTGATTGCATTGATTGCAACGAATCTGAATTAAATTGACCGCAAGACATTTAAGAGGTGTATTGAGTCTCCAGATAACCATGCTGTCGGCTCGGTGGCGGTCCTGGCGGATGGTCCGGGCTTGAACTCCATTCTCGAGAAACCTGCGGTTTAACTTTCAGCAGGATCGCCCGTTCGACTCGGGTCCGAGCCATATAGGGTCAACAAGTGCGTTTTTAAAGGGAGGCTTTCCAGGTAAATAGAGTTGGACGGGAAGTGAGAGAGTATCGGCTCGGTGGTAGAGGGTCCGTGCCTGCATTACTTGGGGCAGCAGTGACCCAAGGGGCAAGGACCCAGGCACATGGTTTCATGTGCCTTAAATGCACATCCCTCGCACATGTTCTGTCGATGGAGTATACAAAGAAAACAAATATTTGTTCCCCTTGTTTTCCTTTGTTCACTGCATCACCGGCGCATCTGCAACAAAGGTGCATTTAAGGCACACGAAAATCATGTGCCTGGGTTCTTGCCCCCCGTGTAAATGTTCCTACCGGAATTGCCCGTTCGACTCGGGATCCAGCCATGACTTGCATACGTGGGTAAGACAAAATTGTGTTTATCCACCCTCGATTTCTCAGTAACCTGGAATCTACATTGCATACACTTTCTTTTCCCGGTCAACGCCAGACAATTACAATCGAACCACAGGATATCGGACCATCACAACCTCATGCGTTATAGGTTCAACCTCATCACACATCCATGGGCCGCATCGCAACATTGCTGACCGTCCGACGACCTCCGAATAAAGTGCTGCGCCGGCATAATTACCCGCGTGGAGTGCGGTTTGTGGTTGGAAGTAGGGAAAGGAGGTAAGTGCGTATCGGCTCGGTCGCGGATGGTCTGCACTTGCATTCCTTTCTCGGAAATTGTGTTCAAGTTAAAGCAACGGCGGAATCAAATGTTTCAGCTATGGATTCTTTTGCTGTTGGGTCTGCATCAACTAAAGTGACTCGCAATCCACGGCAGCCACCATAACTAACACACTCTAGTATTGAATGAGATATCACAGCGAAGGTGTGAGAGCTTTTTTGATCCAACAAATGTTAATCGACAGCAAGACATTTGAGAGAGTGTATTGAGGATCCAGGTAGACATGCTGTCGCCTCGGTAGCGGATGGTCTGCACTTGCATTCCGCTGGTGGGAACTCCTTAGTTTAAGCAGGAAACGCCCGTTCGACTCGGGTCCGAGCCATCCCCTTCAATATCACTCCAATTTCTTTGTACACATCTGAAACCCAGTCAACCACCACGAACAAGCCGTGCTAATTGAACACTGCATTCAACCTGGGTACCAGCGGATGGTTCTCTGTTCAACTTTCCAGTCAACCGGTCTTCCAGATTTGATAGGTTAATATATAGACTCCGGTAGATACAGAGTCGGGATCGGCTCGGTGGCGGATACTATATATCATAGGGGGCTGCTATGGAGGAAAAACTGACAAGCTTACCCTAGTGCTGTAAGCAAGCGCAAGTCAAGCCCAGCCACAAGCCCAGCCCGCCAAGCTCTTGGAGTGTCAAGCCGCACCGGAAAGTGTGTTAAACTCTGCTAGCGGCACAAGCCAATCCGCCAAGCCACTCCGAAAAGTCTCCATTAACAGCACAGCTCCTTAACAGCTCTACAGCTTCGTGGCATGGGAATATATACAGCTCCGTGAACTAGGACTGACCCACTAGTGTTAACCTTCCACTCTCAAGAGCCCACCATGCAAGTGCAGCGTCAGCCACGCGACGCTCATTCACATTGTTCGGACCTCTCCCGCGCGTTCAGGAATCCAGTGGACCGGTATCTGCTACCTGTAGGCACAGTAGCGAGGTGAGGCTGTCGCGTGTCAGTGTTCATCCAACCTGTCTCCTACCAATCATCCCATGACTTTCATTTAACCCTTTCTTCTTATAAGCGCGAAAGCTGTTCCATGAGCGCTTATACTCTCTTCCTCTTCTACCACCATTCACGAGGATCTATTGACAGCGAGACCTCCTCAAACGACGAGTGCATCTCCGCCCCTGGCGCGGACGACCCCGTATTCACTTCGTGAGCCCTCCCTACTGGAATTTGTGCTGCCTCGAGCTTTGGGCGCTTGACTCAGGTCTGGTGGTGGCATATTTGCGGGCTCGCAGCACTTCGTTGTAACTGGAGGAACGTTCAACAACAGCACAAATAATTATGTTACACCACCGGCCGCGCTACCGGGTAGCGTTTATTGCATCTCAAAGTGTTTCACTGGAGATGCTAAATATCGAGCAGATTTTCGAATGATTTCAATGGGCGACATCGACCTCCAAAAGGAACTAATGGTAAACAAGGAATCGTCCGCCATTGGTCGCCGACGAGAACGTAACTGTGTTCGCCGGGTGTATTCTGGCAAAATCGATGGACGGAAGTCGAACTTGACCGTCGGCGTGTATCAGGGCCACGGAGCGGAGGAGGTGAGTCGAGTGCGCTTCCTGATATATGATCTGCGACCTCGATGCCGCAGGACTGGCAACGAGACACCGAAATGTATACATCTGTTCGATGAGTCCTGTCCGATTTCTGTCGCGGGCTGTTGCTAAAATACATCCAGCCACCCGAATATCATTCAGATTTGGGCAGGCGCCAGTGATGGAAGTATACATGCCACAGTGTTCCACGGTGGTACGGTATTCAACCTCAAATGTTGTTCTCGAGGTT